TGGTCCCTGCGGCAAGGTGCCAGATGGAACCGCGCAGAGGGGTGCGTCCTTTCCCTTCCTGGGTCTCTCTCCTCTCCGGACCTGGGGGGCAGCCGCGTGGTGCCAGGCGGAGGTCTCAGCGGTCCCAGCGGCCCCTCTTGCAGAGCGCCCCCTTGCGGCCGGCTGAGCCGGTGCACAAAGGCCTGCCCTGCCGCAATGACCCGGCCACGAGCGGCGCGGCGCCCTGCCTGCTGCTTTTCCGTGTGAAAGGTGTTTAATTATTTCTGACAGAGTTCAGCGTCGACATCTGTTCGTGAGCGGGGAGAGTCCATTTAGGTTATCCATCACCGTGACAGGTTCAACTTTTTTGGAAGCGATTTCCCCTTCATAATGGGGCGGGGCGGGGCAGGGGCGGCGGATCCGCAGCCACGGAGACAAAGACCCTCCCGAGCCGAGCCCGGGCGAGGCGCGGAGAAACGGGCGCGAGCTCCGGGGGAAGGAGCAGCCTGGCCGCCTGGCTGGCCTGGAGTCCAGACCAGTGGGAGGTCGGAGGGGTGCTGGTGCTTGGGTGGAGGGGGCTCCGTCAGGTTTGTGCACAGCTGTTAAATTCCTGCGTCACTCTGGGCTGTCCCCAGGCTCATTCTTCTCCTGTTCACCCTACAGACCTTCACTGGCCACCTACTCGGTGCCTGGTGCCCTGCTGGGCCCTGGGGACATCATGGGGGACAGGTAGGCATGGTTCTTTGGGCTCACATTTTACCAAAGAAGATGACAAATCTCTCGGTGACTTAATGAATCGCCAAGGTGGTAAGTTAGCGAAGGAGAAGGAACGCCCCCTTTAGTGGGGTGTGGGGCTGCAGGGGTGGGGCCTACAGGGGGGAAGGGCCTCGGTGCCCCTGCTCGGCAGCCCCAGATGGGATCTGGGATCTCCGTCACCTCCCCGAGCCTCAGTGTCACACCCGTGGAATGGGGACATAGTATGTTGGGGACGATACTTGCTCCGTGCTGGGCACGTAGCACAAGCCCAATAAATACATTTTGTTGGTGTGACTGCCCGAGAGGGGACCGAGGGTGACGTCCGCCCAGCAGCACGCTGGCGCCGAGGGCTGCCGTGAGGTTGTCCAGGGCAGTGCCCAGGGACCAGCCCTGCTGTGGCGCTAGCTTCGGCCCGG